CCCCCCCCCCACCCCCCCCCAAAAAAAAAAAAAAAAAAAAAAAAGCAGATTGCAAGTAAAACCTGCTGACCCCCTGGTTCTCAAATCCCATGTCTGGCTGCCAAATCTGTGCTCTGTGCTTCCCCCATGCACAGCCATTGGTGGGCCAAGGAGTGGCCACCCCTCAGACTGGCACCTGCATGCCTCCCACCCCCCAAAGTTGCTGGCCTGGGGCCAGCAGCAGCAGCCACATGGAGCGCTCTTGCCCCTCCAGGCGGGGCTGTGAGGAGGAGGCACAGGTGTGGTCAGGGAGGCTTGGCCCATGGGAGGGATTGGATCCAACACATCACTGAGGTTCCTCCTCCCGCCTCCAGAACGACTGGCGTGGGAGGCCCTCGTGACCCCACTTGGGAGGCTCTGCAGCCAAACTCTGATCATCGCCTTTCCAGAAATTGCCTGCTGTATTTGAGGTGTTAACCCCAGTATCAAGTTCTGCAGCTGAGGTGGAGGCTGTGCTGTGTTGTTGGGTGATGATTGGTCATTTTGACAGATATAGGTGTAACCCGAGAAGGTGTCCGCCCTTAGAGACCTCATGGTAGGAAACCAGGTCACTGACTTCAGGCAGTGGGGAGGGGAGTCTTACAGGAGGACCGTGGGGGCTTCCACACTTGCCGATTTGTTCCTGGCTCTGCTTTATCTGGTCTGGGGGTCCAGGTTGTTGCATCTGTGGGCGTATAGTTTTCATCAAAATTGGAAACCTTTGGCCATCATTTCTCCAAGTATTTTTTTCTACCCACCTTCCCAATCCTGTCCTTCTGGGACTCCAGATGTATATATGTCGAGTGCACGTTTGACCCTGGCTGGTGTCGCAGGTTCTGAGAGGAACAGCCGAGCCTCAGCGCCCTCTTTCTCTCTCTGCTGCCCCTTCACGTTCACGTGTCTTTTCTTCTGCAGTGCCTAATCTGCTGCTAGTCTGCTCCCGTGAAGCTTTCAGTTCAGATGTTGTGTTCTTCATCACTAAGTTCCGTTGGATTCTTTTTATAATCTGTCATTTCTTTTTTTTTTCCCCCTTTTTGTCTTTTTTCGTGTCTGGCAACGGATCGCAACCCTCAGTGTCGCGCCCGTACTGGACCGGGACCGGCAACGGGATCGCAACCCTCGGCGTTGCTCCCACACCTCGCTCAGCCAGTGAGCGGGAACCGGTCTGTATGTGGGATCCGAACCCTCGGCGGGAGCGCCACCGGCACACTGTAGCAGTGCACCACCGGGCCGGCCCTATAATCTGTCATTTCTGTTCCTCATTATGTTCATTTTCCTTTAAATACTTGTAGGTAGCTGCAGAGTTTTAACCTCCTTCTCTGCAAGTTCCAGGCTCTCTCTCATCCCAAGTCTATTTCTGCAGTGTCATGTGTCACATCTTTCTGCTTCTTGGCATATCTCGTAATTTGGATGGGATGCTGTGTGTTGCACATATTGTGTTATATCTCATCCTGTGTGAACTCTGGGAACTATTCTGTCTGCACCTCCCCAGTCACTCTTTGCCCAGATCTGTGGAGGTGACTGAACATGGTCTGGTACTTAGCAAAGACTCAGGGAATGTGTGTGCAGACATCTGGGGCTCTTTTTCTGCATCATCCCCTCCTTTCTGGAACTCTGCCTCATGGCCTCCTCAGTCCCCCTGATCTCCGAGCTCCACTCCCCAACTCAATGAGACCCAGGGCTTGCCTGGGTTCCGGGCCCTCCGTCTGGGAACGGCCTCTGGGCATTGAGCTGGGGCCATGGAGGGAGCACCCTTGAGTGTCCCTCTGTCAGAGTCTGTGTCCAGTGGTGGCCATTGTCCAGTGTCTGGACAGGACCGCCTCCATGTTTCCGTCCAGTTTATGGAGATGAAGTCCTGCGCTTGTGTTCTGTCCCGGCTGGAGGGGAGTTCCTCATCCTGTGGAGGACACTGCGTCTTCAGGCCGTCGTAACTTTGTCAGGTGACTTGTTTCTCCTTCTCAGGGCATCAAGCCAGCCAGCTTTGAGAAGGTGCACGATCCTGAAATCAAGGAGATTATTGGGGAGTGTATCTGCAAAAACAAGGAGGAAAGGTGAGTCCCAATGAGGTGCTGGGTTCCAGGGTCTTTCTCCAGTTAAAATCATTCCACCTGGCATTTAGAGCTGTATTTCTGACAAGAGAATAACTTTAGAAGACAGACAGACTGACTCGGGCCAGAGCACCAGGCATGTGGGCAGAGGTGGTGTGCAGCTCAGCTCTGGGGGTGTGGAAGTTGGCATGGGCAGCCCCGGCCCAGATCCTTCTCTGCTGTCTGGGAATGTGCTCCTCGACTTTGGGGACAGAGGCCTTGCCCAGCTGGCTGCTTCTTGCCTGCCTGGCCGGGAGTGTTTTAGCACCTGGGGCTTCCCCTGCCCCTCTTTGCTTTTTGTCTACGTTGTCACCAGTGGTCTTATCCATTCCCACAGCCTTAGAGAACACCTCCCTTCCAGGGCCTCCCAGGTGCATCTCCAGTCCCCACTCTGAGCTCCAGGCTGCATATATTATGCATCTGGTTATTTGATCCAGCACAAAAGCAGCATGTCCAGGTTGGAGCCCTTGAGTCTCTCCAGAAAGCTGGCTCCCCACCTCAGAGCAGGACTCCCTTCCTCTCTGTCAGCCAGAAAGCTGAAGCACTTTGTCAGCCTTCCCTCCTCCCAGACAAACTGGGGTACACCCATCCATTTGACCTGACACCCCTCAGCAGTAAACAGGGATGGGCGGGCCGGCCCGGTGGTGCACTGCTACAGTGCGCTGCTTGGGAGCGCGGCGGCGAGGGTTCGGATCCCACATACAGACCGGTTCCCGCTCACTGGC